CTGTAATAGGTAATAATTTTTCTATTCTGTGAAATAGGTCTGTAGCTACTGGGATTCTCTGGGTCCGTTCCTGGATTTAACAAGCCAAATTTTTTGCTCGTTGGCCTAGATTCTTTATTTGTTTACTGCAAATATCATCCACACCTGCAGCTTTCCCGTTTTTTAATCTAAATCCACAAGGAAAACAATTCCTGTAGCTGGCTGTATACCACGTATCACAAAAAAGGGGTTAGTCTTCGTAAGTGGGTATATTTATTTAAAAAACCCTTAAAAGGGCTACATAAAACAAACAAACCTTTTCGGACTAAACAGTCCATCATCAGGTTTAACCTAGCAATTTCAAACCTGATGATGGACTGTTTAGTCCGAAAACGTTTGTTTTTTTATGTAGCCCTTTTAAGGGTTTTTTAAATAAATATACCCACTTACGAAGACTAACCTCTTTTTTGTTTTTTAATCTGTTCATACCGTCGTAAAGTTCTTTTAGTGTAAAAGGAGTTCCTACGTAGTTTGTATCCGAATCCAATCTTCTAGTGTTTGGGTCCTTATATCGGTTTGTAGTTCTTCCATTCATAAGGAGTTGACCAGCGACTTGGTTTGCTGTAACTTCATAAAGTGGTTTATCTTGTTTTGGACCATCGCTAAGTTTGTTTATAAGGTTCTATGCTATTTTGTTACTATGTGTTTTGTCAATTTTTTCCGGGGTTTCAATCCACTTCTAAGGGTCTGGCTTAATTTAGCTGTTAGAGTAGAACTGCTTCGCAGTCAACCGTGTCTTGGCTAAAAGAGTCAGTGGAATAGAGTGTTTTATATGTTCTTATTAGTTCTTTGGACTCACTGGACATCCCAGGAACATAATATTGTCTACATCCTCTGGGGATAGTTTTTCTAGACACATTTTTGAGTACTTCTGCAAATTTTTCATGGTTCCCTACCTATGGTTCAAGACTTAGCAGTTCAGAATCTAGCATGTCTACATACTTTTGCCAGTTTGCCTTGTTAAGTTAAATCTACTTCTGAATCCAATAGCTGAGTAGTAGTGATCTAGTAATTTTGGTACTTAGCTCCTCTACTAATTCCGTTAAAGAAAAAACTTTATTTTCACTTTGTCCATATTCATGAAAACTTTTCTTATTAAAAGAATTTACTCTAGTGTTTTGTTCCCTCCCTGTATATATAGTCCTCGAAAATCTTAAAAATATCCCTGTTTCGTTAATTATCTTATTTTCATAGAAAACTGCGATATTAAGTTAACGTTGAAAATGCTTTACTGATACACAGTAATTAGTACCCAACTCATTATCTTCATATAATTTACGTGTTAATATGTTTAACGAACTAGTTATAGCTGGTGACATATCACAGTCAGGAGAGTTATTAAGTACATTGAAAGGTAACTTTGCATTTAATATTTATAATTTTTGATTAGTCTTTTTAGTTTTTTAATTACGAAAAACCCCTTCAACCTAAGTTCAGTTCTTTTGCACAAAGTACCTTCCTCATTTTATTGAAGTTTGTTCGTGCTTTCTCCTTTATAATAATATAATATATAATAAATGTGTGAGATGATTTCTAGAGAAATTAAGAAGTTAGTTTCAGGACATTTTGTAACGTGACATATATTCTCCTGTTCTCCTGTTAAAATAGTATTAGTCTCCGCTAGTTTATATTTCTTTATTTTATCCTTTGTTACAAAGGCAGATGCTTCACAATGCTCTGTTTTAGATTCATCTGTGAATAACTGTTTGAAGGAAGAAAATTGAGAAATTAAGGTTTGATATTTAGAATTAGTAAAACGATTGCTTTCTTTCTTATTTTCTGATAATAGATCCAAATTTATGCGAGGAAAAGATATTAGCCAAGGAGGGGAAGTTAGCATCTTGCAAGGATATATTTCGGGGACTTTAGGGTTTAATTGATTTATGATTCGTCTGCATCTTTCGTAGCATAAAATGGTGTGGTAAAATTGTAAAGAGTATGGCTTCGATGCATATGAGAGCATTAATTCCTGTCTTCTTAAATCTAATGGTAGTTCATTGAGTTCGGCCTGAAGACTTAAGATAGGGGTTGTTTTAAATGCACCACTTATTATTCTAAGAGCGTTATTTTGAACTCTGTCTAAAACTTTTAGAGTTGTTGTTAAAGCAGACGAGTAAGCGTGGTATCCATAATCAAACTTGGAGAGGATCAGATTTTTGCATAATATGAGTAGAGTTCTACCGTGCGCTCCCCAGCTCGTACCAGTAAGACATTTCAAGAGGTTAAGTCTTTTTTGACATATAGCTGATATATATTTGATGTAGTCCTTCCAGGTTAGAGCTGGATCAAATATTCTATCTATCTATCTATCTAATAAGCCTTACACGCCCACTCTTCGCCATAGGCCTCCCCTGTTAATCTCCATTGGTCTCTATTTTGGGCGATCTGTATCCAGTCCTTTCCTGCCGTTCTCTTAAGACCGTCAGTCCATCTCATCTGTGGTCTTCCTCTTTTTCTTTTCTTTTCCCATTTTCTTTGTCTTCCTCTTTTTCTTTTCCATTTTTCATCTTTTTGCCGGAGAGTGTGACCGGCGAAGTTCCATTTAAGTTTTGCAACCTGTCTTGATATATCGTTCACCTTTGTTTTTTCTCTGATCCATGAGTTTCTTTTCCTGTCTTTAAGACCGATACCCAGCATCTGTCTTTCCATTGCTCTTTGTGTTTTAGATATCCTGTCGATGTTCTCCTTTGTGAAAGTCCATGTTTGTGAGTCATATGTGATAACTGGTAAAATGCACTGGTTGAATACTTTCGTTCGCATATATTAAGGAAACTTTTTATTTTTTAGAATATACGATAGTTTACCAAATGAGGCCCATGCTAGTCTAGTTCTTCTTTTTATTTCTTCTGTTTGATTGTCCCTGTTCAGCTTTATTACCTGTCCTAAGTATATGTATTCTGCCACCTGCTCTAATTTATTCTGTTTGACTACTATTTCTAATTGGTCTTCTTGGTTTGTCATAGTCTTGATTTTACTATAGTTCATCTCTAGACCTACCTCTGTCGTTTTTCTATCTAGTTCCTCAACCATCTTCTGTAATTCTTCCTTCTTATCTGTTATCAGGACTATATCGTCTTATATCTCAAGTGGTTCAAGAGCTCTCCATTTATTCTTATTCCGTATGTATCCCATTCTAATTTTTTAAATATGTCTTCCATAGCCTGATTAAACAATTTTGGCGATATTGTGTCTCCCTGCCTGATTTCTCTTTCGAATTTTATTGGTTCTGTATCGTGTTCGTTCGTCAATTTTATTGTGGTACTCGCATTTTTGTATATGTTTGTTATTAGGTCCGTGTACCTGTAATCAATTCTGCCGTTCTGTAGTGAGTTTTTGATGGCACAATGTTCTATGCTGTCAAACGCCTTTCGGAAGTCTATGAATGCCATGTATATTCGGATTTGATACTCTTTCGACTTTTCAATCAGTATTTTTACTGTTAAAAGATGGTCGCTAGTACTAAAACCCTTTCTCAATCCCGCTTGTTCTCTTGCTTGGTATTCGTCAAGCTTAGTTGTTAGTCTATTTGTCATGATCTTCGTTAGTAGTTTAAATACAATACGTAGTAATATAGAGGTCTATAGTTTTCTTAGTTCTTTCGGTCACCTTTTTTGAACATTAATAGTGTCTCCGCATCGTTCCAGCTATCGAGTGTTTCTTTTGTGGTCAATATTTTGTTCATGAGGATATGTAGGACTTCTCTAGTTGTTTTCCCTCCTCTCTTTAGCATCTCTGCAGTTATTCCATCTTTTCCAGGATCAAATATTAAACCAAGATATTTAATTGTATTTACATATTCAAGTGTCTGACCCCTAAGTTTTAAAGTAGGTATTTCTTTTATCTGTTTTGGTCTCTTTAAGAATATGATGCACCGAATTTTAGATGAAGCAAATTGAAAACCACTCCTTTTAGACCATCATCATCATCATCATCATCATCATTCAATCTTCACTTATCCACTGCTACACATGTATCTCCCTCATAATTTTCCATCTTGTGCCTCTTGCATTCAATTTCTATGACAACGTTTTAGATCGTCAGTCCAACGTGTTGGTGGACGACCTCTGCTTCGGTAGGTATCGTCTCTTGGTCTCCATTCCAGTATCCGCTGTGTCCATATATTATCTATCATTCGAGCCACGTGACCTGTCCAGTTCCATTTCAGTGTTGCAACTCTCTCTACTACATCAGTCACTCCTGTTCTTTGTCGTAGCTGGCGATTTGGGATCTTGTCTCGCAGTGAAACGCCCAACATAGCACGCTCCATCGCCCTTTGACACACACGGATCTTTTGAACTGTTCTCCTTGTCATGGTCAACGTTTCATAGTAAATTTACTATTTGTATTTTGAGAATGATTTCCGAAGTGGAAATTGAAACGTCAATAAACCTTTAATTGCGGCTTATTCCCAGTTAAATAGTAATTTACAAACTGTATGGCTCGTCCATCATGCCATAGCATGAAGAATAGGGTGCACGCCATTTTTACAAAGTTGACATCCCACTCCATGGCCTGACACAGAGGCCAACATGGCTTTTTAGACCATGCTATAAATTTATCGAGTTGATCTTGTAGTAATTTGGCCATACTGTGTATATTGTTTCCATTTAAGAATATTATAGGATCATCCGTGTACAATCTCGCTTGAATGGATTTGTTCATAGAATTTGATTATATTATTAGTAGCTATAAGGAAAAGTGTCGGGCTGATTACCGAGCCTTGGGGTGAATAGTAGATTTGAATGACTTGAAAAATAGCTTTAAGATCAAGATTAAGTTTTCTCGTAAACTTTTACGATATTCTGATGGTTATTCTGTTATTTGGGAGGCGAGACAAATAAAAAAAAAACAAATATCATTAAAATCGGTACAGCCATTCTTGAGTTAAAAATGGTCTAACTAACTCGATAAATGACTTTGTTAATATATGACAACATAACTTATTTTGTTTTTTGTTTTAGTTCAAAAGACGATGAAATTGACAGCAATTGCGTAGTAAGAGCGAGAGGATTACCGTGGCAAAGTAGTGATCAGGATATAGCAAATTTCTTTAGAGGATTAAATGTCGCAAAGTAAGTTTTTATTAGCCTAAATTTAGATATAAATGCAATGCATTTTGAACGTGTGTGTACATTTTTGTATGCTTAGTGGACATTTCTTAGAACTTTCTCTGTAAGGTTATCTTTCTCTGTATTTATTTAAACAAAATCTCATTCATTATATATGTTATAGAGCTATATAATGATATTTTTCTTTTTGTTTATCGCGTTAAAACTTTTATGTATCATAGATATCAACGCCTTCATATATATTATGAAAACCAGGTTTTATGTCTGTAATAAAAAATTTAATAATTATAATCTCCAAGCACATTCTTCATTTTCATTTGATTTTTATTTAGTGCAGTGTGGTGATTTATTATTTTTATTGTAATAGTTGAAGTTCAAGTTTTTGGTAGAATTCTACAGGTAGATATAACAACTTTACAATTTACTCCAATTCTTGAGCATATTTTTCTACTTTCTGTATTTTTGTCTTCTCAGATTTTGTTAGTCCAGTCTGGTTAGACAAAAATATTCACGGCAAAATTTTTCGCAGATATCTGAAGCTTTTAAGAAATGGGTGGAGGTTACTAGATGATGAATATCTAGATGAAAAAGTACTCGTATTTTTACCTTGCGTTTTTTTAACTCTGAGGCACATAAGTCTGTTAATATTCTAGAACCTAGTTGCACACAAAATAAAGTTTTAAATAAGGAAAATTTTTTTGTGTTTTTGGAGTTGATAGTCAACAGAAATAAAAAATAGAAATTTTATTTAACAAACCTGTCACTTTGATAAATAGAGGGTGGTACAACAGTTGTACCATTGTGCAGCATCAGTATTTTCATTGTGTATTAGAAATAATGAATATTGTTCTAAAAATCTTTATTTTCAGATAAAAAAATTATAATTTTTTATGATATTGTTGGAAACAATCTTTTGTTTTGCTGAGGCATAAAGGAACTTTACAAATGGTACAAGTCCATTCAGTACGGATTTGCTGTGCTTTAGTATTACATCGGGCACACCTTCTTGTAGACCGTATTGGCTGGTGATCTGAAGACGTAAATATTACTTCTGCAGGTAAACCTTCTTTGTCGTTTATTTATTGGTACCCCACTATTTTCTTCCGAATGAGCTGCAGTTAATTTCACATATTCCTCCGCCAATAATCCATCTATTACTCTTCTTCGAATGTCTTTTGGAGATATTTTTTGTAGACCGCATATCTTATGTAATAGATAGATAGATAGAACGTTTATTGACCTTCTTCTTCTTTGGGTGCCGTCTTCAATGAAGGTTGGCGATAACCTCAGCAAAATCATTTCTGTCCTGTCTGTTTATTGACCACTTTACATAAAGTTTGAAGTCCGTATAAAAAATACAATAAAAGATATAATAATGTAAACTTAAAATTAACTTGACCATATTGGCTAAAGTAATATACATATGTAAGTATTAGCAAAAGAATTAAAATTAATAATTTAAGATAAAAAAGATCTCTAACCAAAAAAAAACAAACCTAAACTGTCACATAAAAAATCTTTGAAATATGGAAGTAACAAAAATGTACAAATAATTAAGAATATTCCCGAATCGATGACTAAATAAACTAATACATAAAACTTAGTAATTTTAATAGCAATAATACAATGTGATATGTAGATAGTAAATCGACAGTATTCTGACCAAACTGGGTACACGTTATAAAGGTGTATTGAGGTATTCTGTCTTTGAGTAAAAACAATATGTTAAAAAATGCTTTCTGATCCTATTTTTAAACAGTGGTGGAGACAGAATTTTTATTTCGTTAGGCAGATAGTTATACAAGTGAATATCAATTGAAATCTTTGTGCTCTTTGATAGTCTGAATCGTTGTGACCTAATTAAATCCCTCGATCTTGTTAGATGATCATGTAATTGGGAGTTTATAGTAAACTTATTTTTATTATCGTGAATTTCCAACAGTGTTGCATACATATAAAGCGAAGGTAGAGGCATAATACCCATTTTCAAAAATAATGGTTTACAATGATCCCTTAAATCCGCTCCAGCAAGTATCCTCACCAAAGAAAAATCCTCAGATAGATCTTCAGTCCCTATCATGATCCGAATACTAACCAATACCGAATGAGAACAAATGCCGAGGTCAAACAAATGTATAGTGCTAGCGACGTAGTCCAAGAGATTAAATCCCAACGTCTAAGATGGGCTGGCCATGTTCATAGGCTCCCTAATAACCGCCTTACCAAGTTAATCTGGGAAGAAGTTCCGACAGGGAGAAGGTCCTTAGGACGTCCACGAATGCGATGGAGAGATAATATATGGTCAGATTTGAGAACAATGGGGCTACCCACTGACTTTAACATCATGGACGACCGTTCGAGATGGAAGTAGGTTGTGCAGTCAGCCAAGACCCACCCCGGGTTGTAGTGCTACCAGAAGAAGAAGAAGTATCCTCACCACCTTCTTTTGTAATTTAAATATTCTGCCGGCATGACCAGAGTTGCCCCAAACAGCTATTCCATATTTTATATGACTATGAAACAATGAAAAGTAACATATTTTAAGGGTACTTTTAGGTACCAACTAAGTTGTCATCCATAAAAATCCCTAACAATTTGATGCTATATCCAAAAAATGTCTCATCTAATATGAAGGCGTTTACAACAGAACAGTCTAGAAAATGGAATAAAATTCTCATCCACCATTTTTTGCATTTCCTATCCAACTCAAATGAAGACTTCATCTAAACACCGAGGAATTACCGTCTTTTAAATTTGTGCGAAATTCCCCCCCCCCCACATGGCAAATAGTTTATTTATTTAATTTATTTATCAAAATTTATTTAATTTATTTATCCCTAAGGCTAAATATTTAAACTATTGAACTTGCTGTATTAATAATGCTAGACATATTTAGCAAATTTCACGGGATTCTTTGAGACGCATATTGCGTTTTCATCGGAATTATTTACTAAATAAACGTTTGAAAAAGTGGTTTGTTTTTTATTTATAAACAATTGTAATAACTTCTATATTTTTCAAGCTACAGACTTATATGTACAACCTTTGGATAGCTGGTAAAAAAACTCACATTTAAAAAAAACCTTCTATGACCAATAGGAACGAAGTTGGGGACTATTTTTAAAAAAATCGTATCTCCATTTTTTATAAACATTAAGAAGTAAAATTTGTACAAATTTTTAATGAAAATCCAAACTTTATATTGAAGCTTAGTTATAAAATTCATCTAATTTTTCGAAACTTACAGCCCTTCGAAACGAAGGTACTTTCTAAAGATCGACATAGAAAAGTGGAAGGGATAACTAAAATTGAAACACGTAGAAAAAAATTACATTATCTCGACTTTCATTGCAGCTAGAAGCCTCTTATTATTAATCTAAGGTCATCATCATCATCATCATCATCATCCAGCCTCTATTTATCACGTCCACTTCTGAACATAGGCCTCCCTTAAACTCCTCCATTCCTCACGATTTTGTGCTCTTTGTTGCCAATTTTTAGTGATACGCCTGATGTCGTCGGCCCAACGTGTAGGTGGTCTTCCTCTACTGCGTTTGTCTGCTCTTGGCCTCCAATTTGTAATTTTGCTCGTCCATCGTGAATCGTGCATTCTCGCTACATGGCCTGCCCAGTTCCATTTTAGTTCCGCTATGCGTTCCACAACATCAGTAATATTCGTCCTAATTAATCTAAGGTAGCTCGTCAAAATATGAATAACGACATAGTTTGCACTGGCCGGGAAATATGGGAAACCTCGGAAAAATTGAGTCCAGTGGTGGGGGTCCAATGTATTAAAAACATTTTATTTTGTTATAAGAAAATTAATAAAATTTATAAATTAGTGCAAAAAACTGATTTTTTTGCAAATATCTCCGTAAATTATTTATCAATTTTAATTAAAAAAACGGGAAAAAAAGATATTCTTGATATACAAAAATGATATAACTATTGTTTATGTAAAATATAAGGGAAAAAATTTATAGCCAAAAATGAATTGTGACCATAAATTATTGTTTAAAAAAACGCAAGGTAAAAATACGAGTACTTTTTCATCTAGTAGTCATCTAGTAACCCCCACCTATGTCTTAAAACTTTAGATATCTGCGAAAAACTTGCCGTGAAATCGATGATTTTTGCATAACCAGACTGTGCTATTATGTCTCTCCATGCGAGAGATGCATATGTTATTATTGAAAGTATGATGCTGTTAATCAGTCTTATTTTCGTTTTTAGTCTTAATTTGCTTTTTCGACCTATGAATCCTCTTATTACTGCTCTGGCTGTGGTTGTTTTTGGATGGTTTGGTCCACATGTTGTGTGAAGGCTAGTCCTCAATTCATTGTAACTCCTAGGTATTTTTCTTTTATTTCCATTTGACAGGATTGTTTTGTGCTGTAAACTGTTTGTCTGGGGTTTATCTTCTCGTTTTAAAGATGACTGCTTGAGTTTTTTGTTGAATAAAAAGGTTGTATTTATTATGTATTATCAAGATATTAACATTACCACCATCTTATTAAACAATTAGGGTTAACTTTGTTTGTCTATGGAACAAAATAATAAGTAGGTACATAGTTTATTATAATTGATATAAGGTTGAATGCTCAAATAAATGAACTTTAAAAATTAAGGACAAATATCGAGCACAAATTTAATAATCAAATCTTGCCCAAGTACTTTCGCTTTCTACAGCATCATCATGGAACATTTCGTCAAATTTGGGCTATCCAGCAAGCAGAATGTAATAAACATGAAATTGGACATAAATTAGACATAACACTACACTATAATAAGGACAAACAGTTTAAAATTATTAACGGAAATGCTAAGGTGACATGTCATTCCGTTAAATACCATTCTCTCTCCTGTTGCCGACAAGAATGTAGAGCATAGAATAATTTTTAAATAATTTTAAACTGTTTGTCCTTATTATAGTGTAGTGTTATGTATAATTTATGTTCAATTTCATGTTTATTATATTATGCGCTTGCTGGATAGCCCAAATTTGACGAAATGTTCCTGATGATGCTGTAGAAAGCCAAAGTACTTGGGCAAGATTTGATTATTAAATTTGTGCTCGATATTTGCCTTAAATTTTTCAAAGTTCATAGTGTATATGTTTTGATTATGTTTTTTGCCGTTGTTTGTACCATTCCCATCTTAAGATATATTTTTAAATACTAAATATGTACTTTATTTTAGGGGCGGTGTAGCTTTGTGTTTATCAGCACAAGGACGACGAAACGGTGAAGCTTTAGTGAGATTTGTTAGCCAAGAACATAGAGATATGGCGTTAAAGAGACATAAGCACCACATTGGTACTCGATGGATAGAAGTATATAGAGCCACTGGGACTGATTTTCTCGCTGTTGCAGGTGGATCTAGCTGTGAAGCGCAGGCGTTCCTTTCGAAGGGGGCTGCTGTCATCATTCGGATGAGAGGATTGCCATATGATTGTACGGCAAAACAAGTAGTAAGTAGTATTAATTCAAAGATTTTTATTAAAGAAGCTATTAATGATAACATATAAGCAACATATATACAATAGAGGCAAATATCTTATTAAGAATTATGCAAAATGTGCAAAAAAGGATACTATGAACCATTCAAAAATAAACTGACCTAAGAAGAAGTAGCCAATCTGCGTATGGCAAAAATCTGTGAGGCGAGCTTCTTACACAATTCTTCAATATGGTGTGACTAGTGTTCAACCTTGTATTCATAGTAACACCTAGTTACTTTACTGGTTCAGATGGTTTAACAAATCTATCGGAACTAAATACTATTGTCTGGGTTTTCTGAAAAAAAAAATTGATATTTTGAATACATCAGGCCAGCAACCCTTGTTAATACATTTATTAAATATTGTGAGAGGTTCAATGATTATTATATCTAGAGATGCCTTAATAATTTTACTGTTAAAACCATAGTAGTCAACACATGAGGAATTTTTTAATTTGTGTATGCATTTTTTCACATCACATAAGATGTGACCATGTTTGGGACCATAAAGGCCAAACTCAACCTTTTAGGTAGCCTGCTAAGATAGTTATGTCATGCTCAGAGTTTCCTATTGATTTTGATATAATATCTGCTGCATTCGTAAAGTATTGGTTAATCTCTTCTGGTGTTAGGTTAATCTCTGGCCTCTAAGGACGCTCCACCATTGATATAAAGTAAATTAACGTTAATGTTAACTTAACACAAATATATTTAGACAACATAACATTGATAAATTAATATCTATATAATTGACACGTCACTGCCAAAATAACAGATCGAAAAACAATATTTTCAAATAGTTTTATTAAATGTCTATTACACAATCATTCAGAAAATGTGTGCTTTTCTAATTTTAAATTTCGTCTAGTTTAATAGAACTGATAAAACATTCAATTGCGCAAATAGTTATTGTTAATGGCGTAATGAAACGTAACAGTTAATAATTGAAGTTGATTAAACCCTTCCAACCGATAAATTTTTGAGTTTTCACGCAAATTTTAGACTAACAGTAACAACACTCCAATAAATTATACAATCAGAGCTATGAAAATTGTTATATTAACCGGAAAATTACGACACAGACACAATTATATACGTTTCTGATTATGGCTTATACAGATACAGAAATTTTACTGAAAAATACAAATTTTGTATTCTGGAAATTTCTGGAAATAAAAAAGAATGGGCTGAACATCGTAATTGTCGGAGTGTATGCTCCAAATGAAGGTGCAGGTCCAGAAAGTAAAGACAATTTCTACAACAAGATGAATGAAATATTCTCTGAAGTTAAAGAAATCTGTGAAATCTTTATACTAGGAGATTTAAACGGCAGAGAAGGGAGAAAAGAAAATAACAGAGTTGTAGGAAGATATGGAGAACAAATAACGCCTAAATATAACCTAAAAAGCTTAAAAGAAGATTCAACAAAGTTTTTTTACAAATTACGACTGGCCACAAAATTAGAAAATGTGGATCGAGAAAATATATCAGCGGAAGAATTATACCAGCAACTTAAAAAATGCATTCATGAGGCTGCCAGTGAAGCTTTGGGATATAAAGACAAACATGAAACAAAAAATCAAGAATGGTGGTCGGAGAATATGCAAACGTTAGTAAATAAGAAGAAAAGTGCTTATTAAAAATGAATGTCAACAAGAAAGGAAGAAGATTACAAATTATGTAAAACATTAAATCGAGATGTAAAAAGAGAGGTAGTGAAAAGTAAAAATGAGATGTGGGATCGAAGATGTGCAGAGGTGGATAGGTATATGGATGGAACAAGAGTTGGGCAAGCGTGGATGGTGATAAAGTCTCTCCGGAGGGAAGGAAAGGAAAAATCCAACTTACAGTTAATAGATTTAAAACAGTGGAAACACCTTTATGAGGTCTTACTGACAGAGGATAGATGTAAATTCCAAGAGATCAAAATGGAAGACATATCCGAACATACACAAATAATTCAGATATCAACCGGAGAGTTGTCGAAAAAAGAACGTAGCAGGGAAAAGAAGCGGTTGACATTCTAAACTTTTTACTATAGTCTAAAGATATTAGACAAGAAACGAAATTGACAATTTATCGAACCTTGGTAGAGCCTATTATAACTTATGGAGCAGAAGTTTGGCAGATCACGAAAAAAGATAGAAAAAGAATAAAAAAGTAGAAATATATTTTCTAAGAAGAGCATGTGGTGTATCCAGAAAAGATCATATCAGGAATGAAGATATTAGAAGGAAGACAAATACTGTATATTCCAGTGTAGACAGAATTGAAACGAGACAACTAGTGTGGTATGGTCACGTGAAGCGAATGAATGAAGATATATGGCCAAAGAAAGTTTTAAATTACACACCACAACAAAGAAGAAGAAGGGGAAGGCGTTCAGTTGCCTGAGAAGAAAATGTATGGCACATAATGAGGGATAAAGCCATCAAAGAAGACGAATTTTGATAATCAAAACATAGTTTTTTTAAAAACATATTTACTAACAATTTTTATTTTTCAGTTGGACTTTTTCGCCAGTGGCGAAAACTCGTGTACGGTTTTGGATGGCGTGGATGGAGTTCTTTTCGTAAGAAAACCTGACGGACGAGCGACTGGAGATGCGTTCGTACTATTCGCATCTGAATCGGATTCCTCCAAAGCTCTCTCCAAACATAGGGAATGCATAGGTTCACGATATATAGAATTATTTAGATCCACAACTGCTGAAGTGCAACAGGTAATTTTGTTTTTGTACAATTACATTAAATTTATACATTACAAATAAAAATAGGAATGTTTTGTGTACTCGTGGTATCAGATGTTTATTAAATCGGTGTTATCTTCTTCTAAACGTGCCTATCTTCTAGAGATGTTGGGGACCACATTGACCCATCTTATTCTATTCACAGCAGCGCGAACTAGATCAGTTGACGTCAGACCTGTCCATTTCCTAAGATTGGCTAGCCAGGATATGTCTATTGATACTTAAAGATACATTGCAGAGAATCCTCTAAGACTGTAGAAAGAGCTTCTGGCTTTTTCAATACGAGTTTTTATTTCGTAGCAGTGATCCCAAGTATCCTTAATATTGCAACCCAAATAGCAAATTCTTTCCACTCTTTCTAACAGTGTATCCTTAATTGTAATTTGGGCATTTATGCCAATGTTCTTACTTATAATCATTATTTTTGTCTTCTTGCAATTTAGTTTTGGGCCGTATTTGTTACATGCTTCTACAACGTTATCCATCATCCTTTGGAGCTCCTGCACACTATCTGCCAGCAACACTGTATCGTCTGCACATCTAATGTTGTTTATAGGTTGGCCAGCAATCCAGGTTACAGCAATCCCTTATTCGGATGTTAAATAATGCCGGTGATAATATACAACATTGTCCAACTTCTTTTTCGACTGCGAAGATCTCGGACAGTTCATTTTCTAATCGTACTGTTGCTTTTTGTTGGAGATATAAGTTTGAGATCAATCTTATATCCTTACCATAGGATTCTGATGTGTTTAGGATATCGATTAGTTTCCCATTTGGCCTTCTTGAAATCAATGAAACATGCATACACATCGCAAATGACATCTCTGGTTCTCTGTATTAGTAGTCTAGACGGGATCTGTTTTGGATTGGACATTTTCCATAGGAAACTATTTTTTTTGCTGGAATTCCTTCAGGATGTGCCTAATATCGATAATCACGATATGCGCCAGTTGCAAACCCTGTGCTAAATTTTTTATTTAACAAAATCTGAAAACAATTGAAAATTTCTTATTTTTTTGCTCCTATTTTCGTTTATAATTCGGAAAATATTGATCCTAGAGAAAAAATTATAAGAAGTTAAAAGTTTCATTATTTAATTTTACACAATATTTCGTTAGCTAGAAATAAAAAAATTAATGTTTATTGTTAAAAAAATAGCAATAATTGGAAAAAAAGTACCAAAAAATTAAGTTAATCCTTTAAATGTTTTCGACTTTTTAAACTTGACTTACAAGCTCCATATTCCGCCCAAAAAAACTTTTTAATATGTTTAAAACTTGTGCTAAATTTTGTTAAGATCGGTTGGATAGGTTTTGCATAATAATTGTGCAATCCAGCCTACTGGAAAAAATCGCAAATTTTCAAATTTATACTAGGCCCTAAATAAGGCCCTCAGATAGTTGTAAATTTGTTTACGTATAAAGGAAGGCTCAAACTTTCAAACGCTTTTTGTAAAATTTAAATCGGTTCACCAGGAGAGCCTGGAAATTTTTTTAAAGTTTTAAACATTTTTTAGACTTATAAACAATATGAATAACTTTACGAGCTTTAAACATATCATTTTCGAATCAAAATATATTCTCAAATCAAATAATGTCATTATTATGATAAAACTGCAGAAATTAATTATTTTAAAAAGTTTGATTTTTACAAAAAAAAATCGTTCGCCTTTCTTTTAACAATTAATAATTTATTAACAATAAATACATATTTTTTGTTATTGTTTATATGTACATGTTATTGTTTACTAAAAGTAACAATATTTAATAATTTTTTTTTGTAAAAATCAAACTTTTTAGAATAATTCATTTCAGCAGTTTTATCATAATAATGACACTATTTGATTTAAGAATATATTTTGATTCGAAAATGATGTTTTTAAAGCTCGTTAAGTAAAATAACTTAAAGTTATTTAATTTGTTTATAAGCCTAAAAAATGTTTAAAACTTTAAACAAATTTCTAGGCTCTCCTAGTGAACCTATTTGAATTTTACACAAAACGTTTGAAAGTTTGAGACTTCCTTTATATGTAAAAAAAATTGCAACTTTCTGAGGGCCTTATTTAGAGCCTACTATAAATTTGAAAATTTGCGATTTTTTTTCAGTAGGCTGGATTGCAAAATTATTATGCAAAACCTATCCGACCGATCTTAAAAAAATTTAGCACACGTTTTAAACATATTAAAAAGTTTTTCTAGGCGGAATATGGAGCTTGTAAGTCAAGTGTAGAAAGTCGAAAACATCTACAGCGTAACTAATAAACCAAGTATAAAACTTATACTGAGAATAAATCAGGTATAGGCAAAATCTTTACCAATAAACACAAAATAACTTAGATATAGGTTATACTTGATATAAGAATTTATTCCAAGATAATACCGACCCGCACCCTAGTTTAAGTCTGGTATAACGGTATAACCTATTTTATAAATGCGAAAGTCATCAGTGACAAGAATATATTATTTTTTGTATTATTTTGTGAGTAGCTATTTAATAAAAAAAATATTTTTAAGAGGTGTTGCGGCTGTCGAGGATGTTGATAATTTAATTAACATGATGGAAAATACACCAAAGAGAAAAACTTTTAAAGAAAGAATAAATCCCTTTTCAAAACACTGATAGGGAATTTAGAATAAAATATCGGTTTTCTAAAGGCGGTGTAAAGTTTTTTGCAATTTTTAAATACTCAAACTCAACATATAAGATAACAAATAAAGATATATATATGGTGTCAGTTGTCATTTTCAGTTTCAAAGACAAATCAAAATTGACAAATTTCACTCAATATTTCGTTGTTCTATGTATTTAATAAAGTGGGAATACTTATAACTAACTTATACCGAGTTTATTTGTAACAAATTATTTTAGTATTATATTTACCTTATACTTAGGATAACTATTCTAAGTATAAATACGGAATAACCTTAGAATACGAGTGTTTTATTAGTAAGACAGCTAAAGGATTAACTTAATTTTTTTGTACTTTTTTTTTCCAATTATTGCTATTTTTTCAACAATAAACATTAAATTTTCAATTTTTAGCTAACGAGGTATTGTGTAAAATTGAATAGCGAAACTTTTAACTTCTTATAATTTTTTCTCTAGGATCAATATTTTCCGAATTATAAACGAAAATAGGAGCAAAAAAATGAGAAATTTTCAATTGTTTCCAGATTTTGTTAAATAAAAAATTTAGCACAGGGTTTGCGACTGGCGCATATCGTGATTATCGATATTGGGCCCATCCTAAAGGGATTCCAGCAAAAAATAGTTTCCTATGGAAAATGTCCATTATGGTCTGAATTTTACAGATTCCGCCTAGTCTATAGAACTTGTAAACTAAAAAATGCTTCCCTCGTTTCGAGTCCTGCTCTAAATCCAAATTGAACTTCACTCAGGTGTTTTTCTAATTTGATGTATATGCACGAGTGAATGATAGTAAATGGTATTTTAAGTAAATGCCTCATCAAACTAATTAATCTATGTTCTTCACAGTTTCTAGCGTTGGCTTTTTTAGGAAGTGGAATGAATATTGATAATAGCCAGTTTTTTGGTAAATAACCAGTCTCGTAGATGTTGTTGAATAGCTTCGTAAGAGCTAGTGTTGGCGAAACGTCGAGAACTAATCTCAGAAGATAATGGTTTAACAGCTTGAACAAATTGTTTTACAAGTTATTCTGTACCTCTAATTTTTTTGTGCATATGGAAATTTTTTTATACATACAAAGTCTTATGCAAGTTACTGAATCGTAAGTCTAAGCTAAAATTTGAGCTCAAAATATTGAGTAAGATATTTGGACCAACCCGTTGTAGCGATGGTTCCTGGAGAATAAAAATGAACTATAAGCTGGACAAGACCAAACTGGCTTGAACACGAAGATCGTCAAATGGTCGAGCTGTAATCCATATATGGAAACTCCAAGCAAATAGAACAAAAAAGGCCTTTTTGTAATTTTCTTAATATTTCCCTTACCTCTTCCTCCTCAATATTTGTTTCTTCGTTTGTTGTCACCTTTGGTGTGTGTGGTTCATTATCGTCACCTTTGGCAAATAGGGATCGAAAGTTTCGGTTTTATTATTATAGTTCGTTCATCTCTTTGCAAAAATATTTGAAGGAAGAAACAATTTTAGATCAGTGCTTATAAATTCTGAAAAAAATCGTTTATTTGTCAAAAATGTCTCAAATATTTTTTTTTCTTTAAATGTAAAAAATTGTTTAAAATAAAGATGTTATTTTTCTGCAATTAATTTTTCGTTTTTAACGGTGTATGCTTTACGCTAAATTAAATCTGTTTTTATGTAGGTTCTGAATAGGTCGCTAGATCCAAAGACGTACGAACAACAAGCGCCGCTAATTGCTCAAATACCACAGGTGCCTTTATTGCCACAACAATTTATTACTTCTGGGACCAGAAAAGACTGCATTAGGTTAAGAGGACTGCCGTACGAAGCGCAAGTGGAACATATTTTAGACTTTCTAGGCGACTATGCTCAAAATATCGTTTTACAAGGCGTTCATATGGTTATAAATGCTCAGGTGAGATATTTTATTACTAAGACATTAATATACACTCAGATAAAAAAAACGCAACCGAGAACATTTTGGTCAAATTCAAATATTTCAGTTTTTTTTTTATTTTTAGCCCTATTTTGATGATTTTTTTAGTATTCTGTGTAAAAATTTATAAATTTTAATTTAGTATAGTGAGTTTTTTAATAAAATGTTGTATTTGACTTATTATACGTGGTTAATCGAAATGTGGTTTTTATCCTAACTTTAAAACATCCTGTAGAATGATTTCGTTAGCGGATTTTTGTAAAACCTTGTTTTTCGGTTGCAACTATGTCTTCTAAGTATTATATTTTTTTGTTTCATGTAAAAATATGAATTGGTTCACTTTTAATAGCAAAATGACTTTGCCATCCACAATTTACGACTTTTCCTATTATTACCATTATCTTTTGTATTAATTTGTAATACGACGATAGGGGCTTTGGTGACTGATCTCGAAGGAATATCATATCGAAATCCCAGAAACACTGTATTTAAATAATCATTAAAACCAACGACATGATCTTGGTATTGCCTTCCCTAGCCTCTATAATTGCCTGTACACGTCGGCTCATGCTGTCTATGAGGTCAGCTCATGCAAATATCATCTTGCTGGATGTTTTTGCCGTTCCTCTTCTAGAGCCAAGCGAAGTTCGTTAATTGAGACTGGTGCGATTTCGTGACCCCTAATATTTCTACCAAGCGTGTCCCAAAAGTGCTCTATTGGGTTCAGATCTGGTGAACACGCTGGCCAGTTTATTTTATTAATACCACCTTCCTCTAAATATTGCGTGACACATATTGCAGAGTGGGGTTGCGCATAATCTTGCATTAATGGAAAATCATCGCTGATATGTTGAGAAAATTGATTTGCTAAAATTGATTCTTTGGATGGTAGAACGATGAGTGTGTAGTACTATTTTTTGTGTTTTTAGCGTTTTTTGGTGTTTTTTGCGTTTTCAGCAATTTTTGTGTTTTTTAGTGTTCGGTGTTTTCGCGTTTTTTCAGCAATTATCGTGTTTTAGCGTTTTTTCAGCAATTATCGTGTTTTTAGCGTTTTTTCAGCAATTATCGTGTTTTTTGCGTTTTTCGGATTTTTTGCGTTTTCATCAATTTTCGTGTTTTTAGCATTTTTAGGCATTTTTTGCTTTTTTAAGCCTCTTTCGCTTTTTTTCGTGTTTTATTGTTTTTAGTGTTCTTTCGGTGTTTTTGTCGTTTTTAAGCAATTTTTGTGATTTCAGCGTTTTTCTTTGTTTTTTTGCGTTTTTAAGCATTTTTCGTGTTTTTTCGTTTTTTGATGTTTTTTGGTGTTTTTCGCGTTTTAAGCATTTTTCGCGTTTTTAAGCATTTTTCGCTTTTTTTAGCATTTTTCGGTGTTTTTTTTTCCAAATTTTCAGCAATGTTCGTGTTTTTAGCGTTTTTCAAAAATTTTCGTATTTTTAGCGTCTTTCGGTGTTTTTCGCGGTTTTCAGCAATTATCGTGTTTTAGCGTTTTTTTCAGCAATTATCGTGTTTTAGCGTTTTTTCAGCAATTATCGTGTTTTTTGCATTTTTCGGATTTTTTGCGTTTTCATCAATTTTCGTGTTTTTAGCATTTTTAGGCATTTTTTGCTTTTTTAAGCCTCTTTCGCTTTTTTTCGTGTTTTATTGTTTTTAGTGTTCTTTCGGTGTTTTTGTCGTTTTTAAGCAATTTTGTGATTTCAGCGTTTTTCTTTGTTTTTTTGCGTTTTTAAGCATTTTTCGTGTTTTTTCGTTTTTTGATGTTTTTTGGTGTTTTTCGCGTTTTAAGCATTTTTCGCGTTTTTAAGCATTTTTCGCTTTTTTTTAGCATTTTTCGGTGTTTTTTTCCAAATTTTCAGCAATGTTCGTGTTTTTAGCGTTTTTCAAAAATTTTCGTATTTTTAGCGTCTTTCGGTGTTTTTTCGCGGTTTTCAGCAATTATCGTGTTTTAGCGTTTTTTCAGCAATTATCGTGTTTTAGCGTTTTTTCAGCAATTATCGTGTTTTTTGCGTTTTTCGGATTTTTTGCGTTTTCAGCAATTTTCGTGTTTTTTAGCATTTTTAGGCATTTTTTGCTTTTTTAAGCCTCTTTCGCTTTTTTTCGTGTTTTATTGTTTTTAGTGTTCTTTCGGTGTTTTTGTCGTTTTTAAGCAATTTTTGTGTTTCGCGTTTTCCAGCAATTTTTGTGATTTCAGCGTTTTTCTTTGTTTTTTTGCGTTTTTAAGCATTTTTCGTGTTTTTTCGTTTTTTGATGTTTTTTGATGTTTTTTGGTGTTTTTCGCGTTTTTAAGCATTTTTCGCGTTTTTAAGCATTTTTCGGTGTTTTTTTCAAAATTTTCAGCATTCAAAAATTTTCGTATTTTTAGTGTCTTTCGGTGTTTTTCGCGGTTTTCAGCAATTATTGTGTTTTTAACGTTTTTCTGTGTTTTTCGCGGTTTTAAGCATTTTTCAGCAATTTTCGTGTTTTTAACCTTTTTGGGTGTTTTTCGCGTTTTTAGGCATTTTTCGTGTTTTTGCGTTTTTTGATGTTTGTTGGTGTTTTTCGGTGTTTTCCGCGTTTTCAAGCATTTTTCGCGTTTTTAAGCATTTTTTTGCGTTTTTAAGCATTTTTCGCTTTTTTCGCATTTTTCGGTGTTTTTTGCAATTTTCAGCAATGTTCGTGATTTTTGCGTTTTTCGGTGTTTTTCGCGTTTTTCAACAAGCACTTACCAACCAGAGCAACGGCTTTCGCATCATCTTCGACACTATGAACCATAATCAATCATAGGTAAACAAAGTGTTGGTGTGAATATGACATAATGATAACACTCACCAAAGCCACCTCCTCGTATTACAAAATACCTCCAAAATATTCATATTTAAAAAAGTCCTAAATTGTGGGTGGCAACTTCATTTTGCTCTAAAAAATAAACCAAGGTATATTTTGACATGAAGCCAAAAACAAAATGCTAAGGAAAAATGATTGCAACCAAAAATAAGGTTTTTATGAAAATTCAAAAACAGAATTATTTCATACAATGTTTCAAAATTAGGATAATAAAACCACGTTTTAATTAACCCTGTACAATAAGTCAAATATAAAACTGTATTAAAAAACTGACTATACCAAATTAAAATTTATAAATTTATATGTGTGTTAAAAAATCATCAAAATAGGGTTAAAAATAAAAAAAAAATGAAATACTTTGAATTTGACCAAAATTTTCTCCGTTGAAGATACTTAATAATAAATTATATCTACATGTTAAATATTTTTTAGGGTCAACCTAGCGGTGAAGCTTTTATTCAAATGGACTCTGAACAATCAGCGTTTATGACAGCACAACAGAAACATCATCGAAATATGGCGTTTGGAAAGAAACAACGCTATATCGAAGTGTTTCAGTGTTCCGGTGAGGATATGAATCTCGTACTAACAGGAGGAATACCTCCCGTACCAACCAAAGCAGCTACAGCACTTCTAAGTCCTGGTATGTTACCTCCAATAGCGCATCTACCCCCCACTAATATACCACCACCACCCCCACCTCAATCAGCTACGGCGACAACTATGTCTCAGAGTTTGGTTTCACATTCCCCCCATATAACGTGGGATAGTTCGGCGCTGTTTGCTCAACAGCAAGCCCAAATTATAGCTCAACACAATCTTATGGCTCGACAAAATCAAGCTCAACAAGCGCAAAATGAAATGTTGTTAATGAACCAAATTGCGCAACAAAATTTCGCACTTTTTGGACAAAATATCTCCCCTTTATCTCCAAATAGTGCTCAAACGACTCCTACAGGCGTTCCTGTTAATTCCGTCCTAAAAACTCCCCAGCACCACGCTATGCCTCTCATGCCCATGGTCCCGACTCACCCCTTTATGCTTTTCCCCCCTAGAATGCCTATTACCCTACAAAGACCACCTCCTATGCTTTACCAACAACTAGTACCGGGGCAAACGCAGGTTTCTGTAGTTCCTCATGTTGCTGTAAAAAGAAGCTACGGAGATGCTTTTAGTGATCAGGCGTCTCCCGCAAAAAGACCTTTTGCCCCCGCTTCTTTGTCCATGTATCCTCCATTTTATCCCAACATGTAAACGCAGCTCTCTGGTAGTATATTATGAACTTGTGGTACAAGAAATTTTACAATTTGCCAAAATAAGTTAGTTAGTGGAGTATTTCTTATGGAGTGGTAAATGGTGTACCACAAAGGTTGTTTAAATAGATATAAACAGATTAACAAATCTGCGGTTTGTTGTTAAAAATATTTTTTTAATTATTAGATAAGTTTATACTTAGAATATACAAATAATACTTCGTTATTTTTGGCAAAAGTTACTTTTTGATGAAATATTTTGCTTTTTTTAAGTTTAAAAAATTGTTTATATTTATTAATGTTTCAAAACGCTAACTTAATTATTAAGTTTGGTTATTTAAATTTGAGTTAATATGACTAAGTATACAGATATATAGATATTAGAAATTTGACTCAAATTCGTAGTTCTTAATTTTTTTTTTCTTTATTATTACGGTTAATGTTAGTGAATATATGATATTATACTTTGATATAAGTTAATTATTATCAGGTATTGTATCACTTTGTCAGCTGTATACATCGGTATACTTGACAGGTCCAATTTTGATATACATTTATATGAAACTTTGTAAAATATAATGATTGTTATTGACATAACCAAACAATGACAATAATCTATGAAAATTTTGTTATAGGTACTTAGTTTGTCTCATAAGAATATATTTACATATCATTTAAAAGTGGGGAAACTCGATTCATTTTATTGGTATAGTTATTCAAAAGAGTATAAACTTGATATTGTTCTAAAGCTATTTTCTTGTAGCATTTTAAATTAATTACTATTTAACTGGGAATAAGTCACAATTAAAGGTGAAAATACGTTTATTGACGTTTCAATTTCCATTTCCGAGATCAATTTCCGAAGTGGAAATTGAAACGTCTTCTTCTTCTTCTTCTTCTTACGGTGCCTTATCCTTAAGGACGTTGGCCATTACATTTGCCCATCTAATCTTCTTTGTAGCAGCCCTAAATAGTTCTATGGAGGTCATGTTCGTCCATTGCCGTAGGTTTTTAAGCTAAGAGTTGCGTCTTCTTCCTGGTCCTCTTTTGCTATTGACTTTGCCTTCGATTATAAGTTGGAGCAGTTCATACTTTTGATTTCTTATGATGTGACCAAAACATTGTGTTTCCCGTTCTTTTATTATAAGCATAAGCTCTCTTTCCTTATTCATCCTCCGCAAGACTTCCGCATTTGTCATATGGCTCATGTAGGATATTCTGAGCATTTTACGGTAACACCAGAGTTCGAATGCTTGGATTTTTTTGTGTTGCTTCTGTCATTGTCCAGGCTTCAACACCATAGAGCAAGATGGAGAAAATAAAGCACTTAAGTATTCTAGTTCTCAATGAGATGCCCAGCTGGCGGTTGCATAGAACTTTTTGAATTTTGTAAAAAATTGTACGTGCCCTTACCAGGCGTATTCTTATCTCTAGTAAGTGGTCCCAAGTTTCATCAAGATTACTTCCAAGGTACGTTGTTCTTGTTACTCTTTCCAGATCTGTTCCGTCGACATTGACCTTCACCCTTCTGTTTTGGTGCTTGCTGATGACCATCCTTTTTATCTTCTTTGTATTCAATTTCATTCCAAATTCTCTACAGGCTGTCGTTACTCGGTACATTAAGCGTTGCAGGGCTTCAGCATTATGTGCCAGTATGACAGTGTCATCAGCATATCGCAGGTTATTTATATATTGCCCGTTTATAATTATACGATCCGAGGTGCCTTCCAAAGCTTTCTGAAATATCTTCTCAGGGTAAACATTGAACAGCGAAGGTGATTGAAACGTCAATAAACGTATTTTAACCTTTAATTGTGGCTTATTCCCAGTTAAATAATAATTAGTATAAACTTGCGTAGAATTTCTAACCAAATGGTTATCTGGTTTTCTTCTACATCGACCACATCCAGTTCTACTTTAGATTTGATTATTTTTTCTTCACTTTTACAATATTAAAAAACGTTGTTGCTCTCCATGTGATGGCCTCTATATAACATACGAAGACTTCATAACGAGTGTCTGGGAATATACATTCAGTCTAGCTAGCACCGCTAGCCCCTCCCAATCGACTTAAGTACGTATTCTTCTTCTTAACGTGCCCTATCAAGTCCCCTTGACGTTGGCGATTAACGTGGCGAAACTGTCTCTGTCTCTAGGTATTCTAAATAGTTTCTCAGCTTTTTTTATTCCTGTCCACTCCCTGATATTCTTCAACCAAGAGGCCTGCTTTCTACCAATTCCTCTGCGTCCTTCGATTTTACCCATCATATTAAGTTGAAGAATATTATATCGGTCTCCCCTTACTACGTGTCCAAAATAGGCCATCTTTCTACATTTGATGTTATCAAGCAGCTCGCGAGCAGCATTTGCTCTCTCAAGGACTGCCACATTTGTCAGCATAGCCGTCGTATGTATTTGTATTAATTTTACATGCCGTACTTTATCGAATGCATTTTCGAAGTCCACGAAACATGCAAATACATCTTTTCTTTGGTCACGGCATTTTGTAATAAGATGTTAGGCGCAAACAGTACATCTCTGGTTCCCATAGCATTTCTAAAACCAAATTGGATATATTCAAGTTTTTTTTCGTATTTGCGTCTAATTCTGTTAAAGTTCTTGTGAAGTATTCTGAGGAAAATTTTAAGAGTGTGGCTCATTAGGCTAAGTAATCGATATTCTGAGCAGTTTCTCGCATTGTGCTTTTTAGGTATTGCGACAAAGATGGGTTTGAACCAATCTGTGGGAATTACTCAGGTGTTATATATTGAATTAAAAAGTCTTACTAGTACTTTTCTGTTTTCATCCTCTCTTAGTTTCAGCAACTCAGTTGGTGTATTATCTGAACCACAAGATTCCCAGTAGGTCTATTTTCATTCTTTTCAGTTCTTGAATTGCGTTGTCAAGTTTCCCAGCCACAAATAGACTTCTAACATTCCATGTGCACATTTTAAAATTAGATTTCTTTATGTTTTCTTTATTTTTATTTTTTCTTTATTTTGTTTGTATTAAGAATTAATTTGATGTGATTTTGTCAATCCAATAACAAGTTTATTTACTCTTTTGTTTTATCTATCTCATGAAGTTTGAATAAAAAAATATTAAAACACTACAATTCAGACTGTATGAATGTGCCTTATTACCATTTGGCTTTTGGTTCATATTTTTTATATAGTTAGGTAAGTTTTGTACGTACTTAAATGGATTAGTTGAGACAAACACAAAAGAAAAAAGATTGATATAAGAAGCATTCCAATCCAATATGACCTTAAGGTAAAATAACAAAATTAAAAAAGTTATTTAAGAAAATGAAAAGAATATTAGCTAAGCGTACTTTGGAGATGCCTTGATTCATATAGTTATCAAACTAATTTCAGTAAAATTAAAATAAAAATTAGTTATGTAGAATGGAGATATATGGGGATATAATTTATTTGACTATTAAATGCTAAAATACATATTGGAAATAAAAAAATCATACTGGTAAAGTAACACACAACCAAATCGTTTAAATTAATAAATTACACATTGAAGTTTGAAGCTATAAAGTTAATATTTGTTTCGAAGTTTGTTCCGATATAGTTCTTGTATGTTTCTTATAATTTACATGAAATAACGTTGAAATTTAGGCAATTTTATTACCATAAATAATAAAGTTAAATGTTGACTACTTCATATTTCCATTCCACCCAAATCATTTTTATTTTCATTCTTTAATAAAGGCAAATAGCTATTCGAACAGTATCAGTGAACTCCTATAAAAATTCACATGTTTTTACAGTTTGCCTCGATAATTTTTTTTATTTTGGTTTAAATTACATATATACAATCGGAAGTTGTGGAAGTGAACATGCCATAAAATTTCAGCAGACATATTTTGCATTGATAAATCGAGATCTGGCATACACTTTTGAATAGTATTTGTTGAATAAAACAACCAAACGGTCGATTAGTAAAAAGTTTATTAACCAATACGGCCAAGGATATTAAAAAAAAATATGGACTTAAAACAGTTTGGCATGACGTGACTTAACCTCAATACATTTTCCGTCGCAGTCAGGAACTCATCGAAAACTCCAGGGAATCGCCTTCGGGGACATTCTTCAACAATGTGACGGATAGTCTGTCGTTGCGCACCACAGTCACACTCAGAAGTAAGGGCTTTTCCCCATCTATATAAGCTGTCAGCACATCTAACGCTGCTTGTTCTTATTCTGTTTAGCGTTGTCCATGTATTGCGGGTCAGTTCAAAGCCTGGCGGTTTCTGATCGATACAGGCCATTTGATGTGCCTCCTGTGGTGAGTCGCTCTCCCATTGTGTTCTCCAAGAGTTGGTCAGGTTGAAATGTTCCTGATGTAAAGAGTTGGCTCTTAGCAATGGAGGATATCTGGAGCGCAGTCTGTTTATTTCGATATCAAGCTTATCTTGGTGGATGGGTAGTTGATGGTTAGCCTCAATTTTTCGATATTCTCTGAGAAGAGAATAACTTCTTCGCAGTTTCGGCGGTGGAATGTGATTCAGAATGGAAAGCCAATAGTTCGGTGTGGGTCTAATTGTATCTGAGATCATTCGCATTGTCTGGTTTAATTGGGTGTCAATAATCTTTGTGTGTTTGCTATTGAGCCATACCGGGAACGCATATTCAGCCACCGAGTATACAAGTCCGAGAGCGGATGATCTGAGTACTGAGGCTGAGGACCCCCATTTAGGGCCACATAGCTTTTGGACTATATTATTTCTTGTTTTCAGCTTTGCTGACGTTCTTTGAAGATGTTCTGTAAAACCCAACGTTCTGTCCAAACTCACTCTCAAGATATTTTGGTGTTGAGTTATGAGTGAGCTGTCTGTTTTCGAAGTGGACGGAGAGTTTTTTGTTGGCTTGGGCATTATTCATATGGAAACAGCACACTTCGGTTTTCGTTGCATTAGGCCGTAGCCTCCATTTGCGAAAGTATTCTCCCATATTGGCAAGGTCATCCGCTAATATTGTTTCTGTGATA